TGTTATACTCATCAAGACCTTTCGTTTGAATACCAACGTCATTTTTTCATATATTTATATATATTATATATATGTATGTATGAAAAATATATCAAAATGCATGTGGGTACTCAAATGAAAGGTATTGATGAGTGTAACATCAGGATGAGCTTATATCTTTAAAAACGTTAATAACTCAGAAACTATAGTGCAATTTAACAAAAGTCATTATTTTATTTATTTATAGTTCACAAGTCACGGCAGTCACATAGTGACTGCAAGGTTGCTAGTTTTTATTAAAAAATATTTAATTATCACAAAGTTATTAATAATCTCGTAGAGCATTTAAAAATTTTTTAAATTTTGATTTTTTTAGCCGAGTTAAAACAAAAAAAAAAGCAGTAAAAATAATGAGAAAATTTTTAATCAGTCGTCATTTTTTAAAAATCAAAATTTTAAAAATTCCGTACGTGCAACGATAACTACATCCTTACTGATTAAAAGCAATTTGTGTTTTTACTTTCAGAAAATCTGTTTTTGATTTATCGATGCGACCATGGAGGGGGAAATTTTTTCTAGTGCTCTACGAGATAGTTAATAACTTTGTAACAATTAAATATTTTTTTATAAAAATTTAGGGTAATAATCTTTAATGTATCCTTAATAAAATAAAAAAAAAATCCGAATCCCAAATTCCTTTATTTTCCCTGTTAAAAAAATTTCCCTTAAAAATAATAAAAATAAATTTATCTTTGATAAATAAAAACAAGTACTCTCTCTGCAAATGAAATTAATAAACATAAATATGTAATGAGTTGCTCTTCGCTTAATTTATTTTTACCTTTATCTTGGTAATATAAGAAAAAGTGGAGTATTGAAGCTTGCAATAAATATTTATAAAATAAATTAAAAATTAAAATGAATGAAATTACCATTATGATGACATGCAAGTGGTCCGCCAGAATCTCCATCGCAAGCATCTACGCCTTCATTTAAATATCCGGCGCACATCATACCATCACTTATAGCGCCTTCCCCGTAAACATAGTCTGCCCGACAAATATTTTGGTCAATCAGTGGAATCCAACCAAAGCGCAAATCCCTCGAGTGTGCTATAAAATCAAGGATCTCTGTGATTATAATTCACCTACTGAGGCTGGCTCTAAATGTGAATGTGAGAGCTGGAAATGGAAGAGAGATGAAGAAGAAGAGGAGCAAGAGGGCGGAGGTAGTCAAGAGCTGAGTAACGCATGATATGCCAGCCAACGGGGTATAACCTACCAGATTTTCCAGTCTCGATGCTTCCGAATCCACTGATCGTACAGTTCAAACCGTCAGGATACTCTACGTTTCTCGGCGGTAAACAAATTGGCATTATGTGCTCACCAAGTGGAATACCACGACCTTTCAATAACACCAAAGCAATGTCATTGTTCATACGATGACCCTTCCGGAATTCCTCGTGAATGTAATAATCTTCTATATTTGCATCTGCTTCGGTTCCTTCTGTTATCTGTTTTCATTAAAAAAAAAAATCAATGCAAAATAATTTATTTGAATTATAAAAAATTGAATTTAGCAGCTTCTTACATTTTTTTATATTTATATAATAATTAAATTTTTATGAAAAAAATTAATCACATTGAAGTTGAAAGGTATTATAAATTATTTTAGAATTTTTTATCAATTAAATTATTGTGAAAAAAAATTTAATTAAAAAATTCCACATGTGAAAATTAAAAAAAATTATTAGTGAAAATTTTTAAAAGCTTTTTAGTAGATTTCATAAACATCTAACTATTGCAGCCGTCCTCATGGCACAACTTTTGAAAAATTTAGTCATTTTCTGACTTAGTTTGTCGAGCTGAGTCAGAAAATGTATATAGTTCAAAAGTTTATTTATGTATGTATTTATATATATATATATATATATATATATATATATATATATATATATATAT